CAAACCAAAACTATAATCCATAACAGAATTGTTATGATGTGGTTGTAAAATTGACAATTTAAAAACTGTGGCAATATAAAGATTTGCCAACAGATGTTTAATTTGTAAATTTTAAGGATATTATTACTGATTTTGTGACACTCAGAGACAAAAAACAAGAATCCAAACTATCTGCACTTCCACAGCAGTCATTTCTAACCTGTCCTGTATCTTTTTACACATGGAGTACCACAGATTGTCTTTACACTGTTATTTCCATTGTTGTTTTCAGTGGCATCAGAAGTGTTTCCGCCACTGGCGGGGGTTCAGAAAATTTTGAAATAAGTAAATGCCATTTCCTGCATTCTTGAGTACATTAACAGGTTGTTAAACAGACTTTTGAGAAACAACAAAACATAGGAAAACACTTGATGTGACTATTTCATGAATCAAGTGGAATGACATTGGAATGAAACAGCACTGAGTGAAGTAATTTATGGTAAATGTGGAGGTTCAAATTGATTAAATTTTAAATGTGACAGAAACTTCTCTTCAAAAATGATTGCTGTGATGTCTGTCATTTTATTTAAAAATGTCAAAATATACATTTTAAAGACTTTTACAAGGAACAAGCTTTTTTAATTTTAAAGCCAATCACCTCTTCTATGCATGTTAAATGTTTTATTTGCTTGTTGATTTTTACTTTTGTGAAGAAAACCTGTAATTATAAAAACCCAAAACTGGAAATAAAGACTAAAACAAGCACAATTACAAATTACATCTACTGTAGTGTTATCCCAAACTATTAAGTTATTGCTTTTTATGTCATGTAATAAATATGATCTATGTCTGTGAGAGAAAACCGGAGTACCTGGAAAAAACCCACTCCTGCACATGCAGGGAAAACATGGAAACACAGAGCAGAAAGTTGATCTAACAATCTTCTTCCATAGAGGCAATGCTCTACCAACTGTGCCACTGTACTGCCTAATTTTATATTAATTATATAATATTTAATTAATATTTGATTAAAAATTTACTTGTGAATAATACCTCCTGAGAACTTACATCTTTATTTGCGAACGTTGGGCCTCATGCAAGAACATGTTGGTATTCTTCTCCTAAATTTCTCTTACTTTTGTTCGTACAAAGGGTTCATACGAACATGTCACGTCAGATTCAACAAAC